CGTGATTATTTGGCGGCGAAAAGTTTTTTGACGGCCGATATTTGTTTCGTTTCGGAGTCATCAGCGGATTATTGCTGTCATCGTCTGAACACATTTTATTTGATGATATCTCTGAGTTGGAGAGTTGGGGCGAATGGCAACGACTTTTGCTCTGAGTGTCTGTTAAGCAAAACATAATTTGTTTATACAACTAATGCCTACAATCTTAAGCTAATGAGCAAACCTTTAATTGGGAGGGATTTGATTGAATCATTACTGTCTTCACTGCTGGCATCGTTTCCGCTGTCGTTCCCATTATTCTGATTCCTCGACGAACGCCTTTCCTCTTGTTTTTGTTTCTCTTTAAAGATCTTTTCTTTCACTGAATCCTATAGTAAACAGCATTTTAAACAATGCAAACAATTTGTAAGCAAATAATAGCATACGATATGTAGAAAGCATTTGGAACCGCACGGCTCCGACTTCTTCTCGAGGTTATTGTGTCGCCTCTTATTGTCACGAATGGGTTGAAAGGCTTTACNATGCAAACAATTTGTAAGCAAATAATAGCATACGATATGTAGAAAGCATTTGGAACCGCACGGCTCCGACTTCTTCTCGAGGTTATTGTGTCGCCTCTTATTGTCACGAATGGGTTGAAAGGCTTTACAAATTAAGACATATATTAAGTTAATGAACACTTAATTAACAAATCAAATGTTAGTTACGGTGAAGAAAACAGTCGTATTTGAAACATCGCCGACAGAACAGTGTATGGAATGAATGCATTGTCTGTTCCCTCGGATAAGACTGAGTATGATTTCCATCGATATTAAAAGTGGACTCAAGCGGCTGTGCAGACACTCCGCTCTCTCGCTTTCGTATCAGTTCCGCGTGTCTTAACGTTAAATACAATGTTTAGCAATACATTAAAATGTATGACAACTCGTGAGACATACTTTTCTTCCAATTCTTCAGGGGTTCCCTTGTCTGTGAAGGCGGCGGCGATCGCGTGGTATATCATATGATTGGGTATTTTGGTCTGAATTCGAGTCATTTCTGCGAAAACATCACACAATTAACAGCCAATACTAACGTATAAAAGGTGGTCACAAACGTGTGGCAGTAGTCGAGCGTTCACTTCTTAAAGTGATTTGTTTGTCTCGTTTCACACCATTAGTGGTGTTCTCGCCATCGATGGCCTCACTTTTGGATCCTTTCTTCTGCGGAGCTTTGAGTGCGTCAACCAATTCAACAAACACTTCGTCGACCTCCGAGTCTCTGTCTCCGTGAACCTTCCCGTCGTAGTTCTTAATCAACTCTTCGATGAACGAGCCGTCGGTGTCCAGCACTTCATCGCCCATATATGGGATGTTATGTAAGACAGTCTCGTCTTCGACCATAAAATTTTGCTGAATGGGAGCCCACGTGTACCTAATGGACAGATAGTGAGTTAGCGGTCATCAACGGTGCGAATGGTGTGCCCAGACATACATTGTGGGAATGGGTGTCACGGCATACATCATACGAATGGGAACCGATTGCTTGTTATTGGCGTTGGATGTGTCGAGAGGACGGATTTCACACTGTTTTGGCGATACAACCCAATCAACTCATGTCTTATCATATACTGTACTATATATGCAAATGAATACCCTTTTCATGATTGAGTGATGTGTGGGCACATCCGTCGGGAACTTCACCACAGCATTGGATTCAGTCCTCAATTGGTTCATGTGTTTCAGCGCTTCTGTGATCTCATTCCTGTTGCTAACGTACGCACCCTTTGGTCACACAATACAAGACAAAACACATTATGGTTAGACAGACAGGGCTTATGGACAGACAATGTGGGATCAATTGATGGCAAACCTTCATCACGTCATTGCGTTTATATCTCTTGATCTCCCGAAGTCGGGTGTATTCGGTCTTCACTTTGCGTTTCCATTCAATGGGAACCACTATTTTGTTGCACTTCTTGGACGCCTCGCTCGCCTCCGAAGAGTCGTTCATGTCTTTGCCGATCGCTTCCAGCATTGGGTGACGTGTGGCCCAAATGTGTGGCTCCGATGCGCTCAACAGTTCAGATGGAAATCATTTCCCAAAATCAGGCGTTGAATGCATTGAACGGCAAAAACAATGAATTCATTAATTAGTGAAACATTTGCGGTATTTTTGACAATAAATTCATTACAAACCCAACCATTGGTTGCTTTCAAAGCGCATACTTTCAAACATTACGCTCGCATTCACTCAAACGAAATACATGTACAATACGTGTACACTATTTCTCAATATGTTTTGCATTGGCTTTTCATTTGATTTTTCATTTCATTTGATTTAATTGTATTGTTTTTACCACAATATATGTGATAATGACATGTTTTATCACATTATGTTAAATCATAGTAACTAATTGTTTTTATTTGCCGTAATAGTCAATGATGTAAAATTTAATAATTAAATTAACAATTATTGTCTATATATTAGTAATAAAATTGAATAAAAAGTACTGAAATTAAGTTAATTGGGAATTAAATCTAATGTAAAGTTAACCATAAATATTAGAAAGACTTCATAATAATTAAATGCATAAGAGATTAAGACTATTGACACTATTGTTTGAAACACAAAGTTATCTGTAATAAGAAGTTATGTTATATTTTTAGTCCACTCATTATTTATACCAATTTTCAGGTCAAATATTTTAATCCACTATTAAATGATGAAAACGAAAGTTAATATATTTGTCACAAATAGTGAAATGAAACGAAAAATACATATAATTTATAAAATAGTTTAATGGGTCAGAGTTTAGAAGAGATGTTATTCCCAAATAGGGTCATAGACTTAGGCCAATGACCACTCGTGAGAGTCTGACCGTCTGATTGAAAGTGAAAAAAGGGGTCACAAGAAAGTGAGTGAAAGTTTTTATTTAACAATTAGATTAAAAGCGAAATGTGAACGAAAGTTGTCCCAATTTATTGTGGGTATAAATTGCAAGAATTGGTCACTTTATGGACAGTAGTATTCAACTCAAGTTTGAATTAAGATCAATAGAAATTTATTTCAAATACAACTTTTTATATAACATTTCATTCTAACGATGAATTCTTCAACAATCCTTTTGGCCACAGTATTGGTCGTGTTGTTCAATGTGTTGATCACTCCGGGATCAGATGCCGTTTCCATCAAAGCGATCGCATTTAAAGCGGCAAAATTCGGTACAATTGGTCTGATTGGCAAAGGTATGCATTTATGAGCATTCAATGCGAGTAATAAATGATTGCAAATTTACTAATAACTCCAATACTATGTGACAACAGGTGCTCTTCTCGCTCCACTCATCGCCAAAAAGGTTGTCTTATTAAAGGCTGCGGCCGTTGGAGGCATAGCGGCGTCGAAGGCCGGCCTCTTAGTGCCTGTTCTCAAGAAACCAGTTGTGGTCAAAGCGGTTCCTGTTGTCCGTAAGACTGTGTCCTATGCGGCCCCGCCATCGACCTCTTACGTCAAGTCCGCACCAGTCTATCAGTCCAATTACAACGTCCCGCAAACTCAAGCCTATGGTCCGCCGCCCAGTATTGCCAGAGAAGGCTATGGGCTCTCAAATATTAGAAATACTTATTAATAACTTTTACATTACTTTAAGTAAATATTTTGTATCCATTTTATTACAAAAAGCATTATTTCATTATTTAATTAAATAAAATTTGAAACTCTATTAACAAGTTTTGCGTCAAAAAGTTGTGCTAAAAAGTGATGAAAAGTTGTGTTCAAATAAAGCGCTTAAAAGCGATTCAAACAAAGCATTGGTTCTAAATGTGAGACAAATGTATGAAAAAGTGTAGAAAACGACACATTTTTGCAGATTTTTTGATGATTTGAAATAATTTTGTTATCATTTAATGAAATATAAGTTTTCAATCAATTGATTGTTAACTCAGATCTCAATTCATTTGAGCGTTGAATTTGGCCATTGGTTTCGCGGATCACTTCCTCGACAGACAATGTCAGACACGACACTCTCGGGTCAAATACTAGACTCACTCCAAGACTTGGATTGTCCGCACTTCTCGGCCATCGAAAAGGATGTCTCACTTCTCACTCATTTGCACACATTTTCGGCCATAATCTCATGGATTTCCACACAATTGCAGACAATTAGACGCCTCGAGTCTGTCGTCAATCCAATCAAAGGTCTGTTCAGTTGATTGTCTTCACGTGTGTTGCCATTCAATGACAATATTATCTCCATTTCAGACGCCTCTGAATCCATGTCTTTGAAGATTGAGTTGAATTCATTGCTCCGGGAATTGAAGTCTCCATTAATTGATTTGTCGTTTACCGACAATGAGAACAAATTAGCGATACTTAACAGTCTTTGCGGACATTTGATGGCATCGCGAATGGATTGCGTGAACCAGAAGTCAACGCCGAAGAAGTCGATGACTATATCTCCGGCTGAGAGCCAAACCGCTAAAGATTTGAAGTCTATTGTAATCACTCTCGGAATGGGAAGACCTCCCGATTCGGTCACTTCTGCGGCGCTTTTTAAAAGAATTCACGAAAAACTTGTCCAACGATTGTCTGACCAAAAGTTGGTCATTGAAGACAGTCTTTTACTGCCCGAAGGCCTCACTCTATCTCCAGATCAGTGGAAGAATTTGGAAACAATTACTGAAGAGCTAAAGAAAGACTACACTATAAGACGTGAAATGCTATTAAGGCGTTGCGATTGCACTGTCGGCTCATTCAAGTGGAAGTCAGACATGAGTTCCGATGCGACCAAAGCTATTGAGAAACAAATCAATGATAAATATGAGTCAGAGAGAGGAAAGTTGACGAATACGCCGAATGTAGTGCTGGCCAGCGCTTTGGCCGCTCGCGAGTCCGACTGCGATATATTACTAAACTGTGTGGTCAGCCATAAGACCGCCAATTGTCTCATACAAGTGTCAAATACCTCTGGTTTGGCTAATCGAGGCCTTCAACAAAGACAGCCAATACACAAACATATGATCGGTTCGGTTCCGGATCGGGGCGGACGGCCTAACGAGCAAATAGCTCCGCCCAAAGAGAGTTTCTCTCAGCAACAGTTCCAAAGAGATAATCCTCAAAGAGGTCGTGGGAGAGGCGGTAACGCTGGTGGCGGCGGTTCCCGAGGCGGCGGTGGTTATAATCGGGGCGCTTCTGCTCCTAATGTATCACAAAATACAAGTCGAGTACAGGGCTCGGGTTGGACTCAAAACACTGGCCAAAGATATTCAACTAATCCTTCGGCTAATAGTTATAGTTATGCCGATCAGAGAGGAGGAGGTTATCAGCAAAACGATAGACAGCAATACTATCAACAAAATGACAGACAATCACAACAACCACAACAACAACAGTACCAACAAAGGAGTGATTCCTATAACTCGGGTCAATATAGCCAACAATCTTATGGACAACAATACGGCTCTCAGTATCAAACAAATCAATTCTCAAACCAATCTAACGACAGACAGTCCTATAATAATAATAATTACGATAACACCGGTAGTTATTATTCAGACAAAACTTATTACAGCGGAGGCAATAGAGGCCGAGGAGGCGGTGGTCGTCGCTATTAAGCCAATTGAATCTACTCTTGATTTATAGATTTTGAATTGATTTGATATACATTTTGGGTATTTTTCTTTAAAAATTTGGGTCACTTTAGTTTATTTATGAGTGAATTATTAAATTTATTTATTTTTTCTGTGATATTATTAAATAATATAATAATAAAAACTTAATTATAATTTATAAATGAATACAAACTTAATATATAAAATATATTCTTTACTTTTGTTTACTGTTACTTGAAATAAGTATACAAATACAAGTAGAAACACTTTTCGATGTGTTTATAAAATATGGTATTTAATGATTGAAAAAATTATTGCAATGACTGAAACATTTTAAAAGCATTATTAAAATTCTGGTTCAATCGGGTTTGAGTGGGCCTTCACGTAATATATAGCGCCGGTGCCTCTTCGCCGATCGGTCCACCATCTCATCAATAGATCCCGTTTTATGAATAATACAAACAATAGTCCGATGAAGAAGAGTGTGAACGACACGAACACTATAACGAAGAGTCGCATCATCTTTACCTCCCTATAGATCTGGTTTTGTTCGCAGTGTATGTTGTGATGGTCTACCATAATCAGGTCGTGTCCTCGAAGTGCGGCCGGATTCGCGCAACTGATCCAAAACAGCAATTTATTAATTTTTATAACAAGAAATTATATGTTTATTAATATATGAGCTATGATTGTGTGTTCATAAGTGTTATGTATAGAAAAGAGCTGCCATTCAGTACTCACATGATTCCATGCGTGAGCTCTGGTCTTAAGTGACAGTATTTGGCCCAAAGAAGATGACAATCGCAAGTCCAGGGATTCTCTCTCAAGTCAAGAGTTGTCAGATTACCTGCAATTACATTACAGTTAAGTCATATTCTCATTATAATAATGGACTCACAAAAAGGCAGAGTATTCTCCGGAAGTGTTGACAGTCTATTAGCTCTGAAATTAGCTTCTTTGAGGGCAATCCAACTCCTGTTAAATGTGCCGTAAAAGGCATAGCTATCGATATAAGACAAGTGAGGATTATTACTGATGGAAATCTTCTTCAAGTTAAACAAATAGGAGAACGTCTTCTCTTTCACTTCAATCAATTCGTTCATTTCATCCAAATATAGTTCAGTCAATGTATGCATCTTTACGAACGAGTGTTCGTCCAAAACACGGATTGGATTTTTGCTCAGTTTTAATACTTTTAGATTTCTGGCACTTCGCAGAGGAATAGTGGGCACTAACATGAAGTCGTTGTCCGACAAATCGAGTTCAGTTAACTCAAAAAGTTGATGAAAGATATCGTCTTTGAGTGCGAACGAGGAAATGGCGGATAAGTCGAGTGCTTTCAGTTGTCCCGAATAGCGCAACAGATCTGAGTCCAGAATTCTGAGCGGATTGTGAGCCAAACGTAATTCTTGCAGAAATAACTACTTCTTCAGCAAATCGTTGGGAAGTATTTCGATGTTATTATAACTCAAATTGAGTGTCAATAGCTTATCAGTGAAGAGCTCTGTGGGCAAAGTCATCAACTCGTTGTGACTCAAATCAAGTCCTCTTAATTGTGTCAACTTTTCGAAAGCATTCGGTTCTATGGTTTCGATCGCATTTGAGGCCAAATCCAAATACTCAAGACTATCGCTGGAGTCCATGACATCAATCCGTTTCAATTGATTCATACTTATATCCAAAGCGAATATATTTTTAGGCCATTCAGACGCCCCCGGAATGACCGATAGGTTCTGTCGCGTGCAGTCCATCTCTGGCCGGTTCTCGCCTACAGAAAAACATTTACATTTGTCCACACATTTGTCCGGTTCTTCACTCAATACCAATGAACTCAATGTTAAGACCAAAAGAGAGAAGAAGAATATATTGAACTTAGAAGACATGTTTGTCTCTCACATCCAATGTCTTGTTATGAATTGTCTAAAATTGTTAACAAAATGTATAAATTGTTATAAAAAGTTTAGCAAACATTAGAGGAATGAGATGTAAAATATAGTGAAACAAAACCTAAAAAAGGACAACACCTTTAATTTTTATGGTTTCCGTTCACTCGCAATGGTTTTCAGTTCTTCAATGAAATATCGGTTGTTGTGTGCCTTCGATAAGGAGTTATGTTTTAATCTAACAATTTTTATGACTTTATGTTTGCGTAAAGCTTTAACTCCGTACAGAAACCGTTGGCCGAATAAAAGGCTGACGAGTTTAAAACTCTCGGTAAAAATCAGTCTTAGAAGACAGGCCCGAAAAATCTTAGGAATGCCTCAATCAAACCTTTGAGCAAATAATAGATTAGTCAAAACTTTATTATCATGTCTAGTGTCCGAGCATTAGATTTTCAAAGAGAGGTCACTTCCTAAAGTCGGCCAGTATTACAAACGTGTGACTTTTTAATTCCTTAACATTTTAGTGCTTTTGATTGAGAAAGCAGCTGTGAATGCAGTATAATATGCCCACCACACACACTCGCTGCACTGCAATGCATAAACTTTGTGACAAATTTGTTTATGCGTGGTAACCAGATATGAATAATACACCTACTGTTTGCTTTAGACAAGACAATGAAAAGGAAGTTATGCGCAATTGCGAGCATACGTCAATGCACACATCAAAGGCAGTGTTATAAAGTAACACAAATGTAATACATGCCTACATTCAGGCCAATGCTTTAGTACTATATAGTTAGTGCTATAAGCGATGTAGAGTGTGAGTGATGGGCTGTTATGTTTGTGAATGCAATGTGTTTTGATTGAAGGCTAAGCCACACAACTATTATTCACACTTTTATGATATAAGTAAATGTAAACTTATTGTACGCCACTCATAAATACTGCACAACAACAACACATTTCTGCCATTTTAGTGTTTTTGTGTGAAAATGTAATAATGAAATAATAATCAATTATTATTATTCATAAACAAGTGATTTTAAGTAATACATAGCCCCATATTCTTATCTAGATAAGAAAATGGGGCTTATGTGTACTTCAAGTGATAAATAAATATTATAAACTGAATTTTTAAAACCAAATCAATTTATTGTGTTTTGTAATAGTGTTTGTTGTGCTTATAAACAATAACAATGAGTAAAAAAGCATTTTTAACTCAACAACAGATTGAAGACCTGTTGAATGATGAAGAAGCGGAGGACGTCTCAAGCACTGAAGAATGCGATCAAATTGAAGAATCAGAACATTCCACTGACAGTGAACAGAGTGCTGTTAGTGATGAAGGCGAAGGAGACATTCAAGACATATCATTCAATTGTAGTTCATCACAATCAACCAAAACTAGAAGTCATGATATTGTCAGAGAGAAATGCAGGCCAATTATACCAAAATCAATGGCTGACAATAATTATGTGTTATTTAATAGATTCATAACTCTTGAAATGATTCAGTCCATTGTTTTTCACACCAATCGTGAAATTTTAATTAAAAGAAGTAAATACAACACATTTCAGACATATCTTTACGACACAAATGCAGAAGAAATACAGGCCTTAATTGGGTTGCTATTACTGGCAGGAGTTTATAAATCTGCTGGAGAAAATGCTATTGAATTATGGTCAACAACTGGATCGGGTAGAGATATCTTTAGATCAGTAATGCCATTACCAAGATTTCGATTTGTATTATTGTGTTTACGTTTTGATGATCGTGAACGACGTGATCGATCAGACAAACTGTCGCCTATACGGAGACTATACACACAATTTGACAACAATTGTAAAAGTAATTATATTTTGTCACCGCATATAACAATTGATGAACAATTGCGTGCCTTTCGTGGAAAGTGTCCGTTTAGGCAGTATATGCCACAAAAGCCGGCAAAATATGGAATTAAAATTTTTATGTTATGTGATGCGGAGACACACTATATGTGGACATCAGAAATATATTTAGGACGAAATGCAAATGCGCCCAAAAATATGAACATTTCATCAGATATTGTTTTACGATTAACTCACGATCTAAAACATACGGGACGTAATATTACGGCTGACAATTGGTTCACATCTTTCCCATTAGTTGATGAATTAATGTTAAATGGTTTCACATATGTGGGAACGATCAAAGCAAATAAACGTGAAATACCAAAAGATTTTTTATCGTATAAAAACAGAGAAGTATTGATTGACAGCCACATAATTCTTATCTAGATAAGAAATATGTGGCTTTAAATTAAATAACCATTTAATGAATCATATTTTACTTTAATTATAGGTTAATACATTTGTCTCGTGTGTTAATAACGACAAATTATTGTTATCTTTTATTCCAAAGAAAAAGAAGATAAAAAAAGTTGTCTTAATATTGAGTTCATTTCATAAAAGTGTTGAAATTAATCAAAATGGGAAACCCGAGCCAATTGATTTTTATAATCAAACCAAAGGAGGAGTAGATGTTTTGGATCAACTTTGCATGTCATACACATGTGGGCGCGCGACACGGCGCTGGCCAATGTGTCTGTTTTACGATATGTTGGATATCGCCAGTATTAATTGTTATGTAATATATAAACATTATTTTCCAAATGACCTCAAGTCTAAAAAGAGACGCGAGTTTTTAAAACAATTAGGCTATGATTTGGTTAAACCTCTCGCTATCCAAAGGCTACATAAAACTACTCTCACCACTGAATTGCGAAAACTAATCGAAAAAGTATTTGACACTAAAAGTCCCTCTGATTTTGATGAAACACAGCCATCAACTTCAACGCAACCTAATAAGAGATTTTTAAACAATACTCGTTGTGATCTATGCCCTCGAAATCTTAATCAAAAAGCAACACTAAGATGTGATGGGTGTCAAAAATTAGTGTGCAAAACCCGACATCTAGTTAATTATTGTACTGATTGCAAAAGTGCCGATTATAATGACTAAAATCTCAATTATATGATTTGTAAACAAACCACTATTTTCTTAATTAGTTAAGAATATAGTGGTTTGTCTAAAACATTACTTAATTAGTATTGTTTTGTGTTGTCTTCTCAGTAATTATTATAATTAAATAAATATTACTTATCACTGATAATTTAACTTCATTATTATTTAAACAACTATATAATTCACATAACAGTTAACAAATTAATGTCAAATTGTATACATATTGTTATGAATCATAACACAATTATAACACTTATTATGAAAATTAAAATAAAATTGTATTCAATATGTGATAACTATTATTAAGTCAATAATTAAAAGATTTATCTGTTGTGTAGTTAAAATGATATTTGTAGCCATAATTTTAATATTTTATTATTAATAAAAATAAATTAAATTGATTGAATAATGAATAACATTGTATTTAGTAAAATTTTACTAATATTTACACCATGTTGTATTAGTTTACGATTTAACTTATTGTCTTATACAAAGTCTCTCTCTCTCTCTCTCTCTCTCTCATTATTGAATGAGTGCATTGTTATTAAGTATTCAGTAGTTTATGCTTATTATATAACCATTGAATTGATGTCTAATCTATTGAGCGTTGAATGAATGGATTGGGAGGAGAGGGAAGTGTTTGCTATTAAATAAAAACATTTATTATTATTTATTTTTTAACAAATTCTATATTATTTGTAAATGATTTACATTTTATTATAAAATGCTTTCAATGGCTTTCAAGTGTTTTATTACAGATTTGTTAAGAGAGAGAGAGAGAAAGAGAGAGAGAGAAAGAGAGAGAGAGACTTTGTATAAGACAATAAGTTAAATCGTAAACTAATACAACATGGTGTAAATATTAGTAAAATTTTACTAAATACAATGTTATTCATTAT